TTATCTTATATTATAATTTGCCTTGTTAAAGAAATTATTCTTTTCTTCCCTTCTGTTTTACCTAAAGTAAATATATTAATTGTTTTAAGTGGTATTTAAAAAAATTAATTAAACCCAAATATAAATTAATTTACAAAACAACACTTATTAATAATAATATAATTTAATTAATAGATATAAGAAAACAATAAAACATTGGACTTAAATAAACAAATAAAATTTATATTGAAGAATGAGAGGTGAATTGCGGATCTATGGCCAAAATAAAATTGCAGATCCCTTTCAAGTTTTTGGTTTTGTACTTGTAACTTGAATGGTGGATTGAATTTATTTAATACAATAAATGTTCAGGAAAGTGTCACTGGTTTCGGTTGATAGTGGTGGGTAAAGTCCAAATAAAGAGAAAGAGGAAGGTAAGACATCTGTTTTATTTATTGTATTTTGGTGGAAACTATGGTAAATTCACACCTGTACACTCTGTCCCTGTTCTGGGCCCTCCAGCTTCATAGTTGTATCTTTAATTAATTAATAATCCAAAAGGTCCAAAACTGATTTTAATTTGCTTCAACCCTCCAAATAAATGAAGGCAAAAAGAGAATATTTACCCTTTTACTTTCCGTGATAATTGAAATGAATCTACATTCTTTTTAAAAATAAACAAATCTTCTCTTAAACTTTTAAATTGAATAAAATTAGTCTTTTAATATTTAAATTGAAAAAAATTAGTCAAAATTTAGCTGATAATGTAATCATAAATTATCGTTATGTCTTTCCTCTTTCAATACATATTAAGCCCTTGTTAATTCGGCAATCATGGGTTTATTTTTCTGATGACATGATATTTTCTTTACAAGTAACTAAATGAGATAGGTTAGCTCATTTTTTTGATAGTCAGCTTGACACTCAAAAAAAAAAATGACATATCATTAGAAAAATGAGCCAAGTATTGCCAAATCAGCAAAAGTTTTAACAGATATTAAAGTGGAAAGTCAGAATGATGATTTATGATTATGTGTATCTGTTAAATTTTAACTAATTTATCTTAATCAAAATATATAAGAAAGTTAATTTTTTTTGTTAAGCACAAAAGTCCATTTTAGTATGGGAATGCTATAGTTATAATATCATATAAGATTGTTTATATGGTATTAGAAGAAATATAACATGATATCAAACAAATTAATACATACAATATCACAGGTAGATTCTTAAATGAATAAAACTAAATATACAACAATACATTATATAATCAGCTTGCAATACCATGTAGTGTCACAATTATAATATTTTTAATTTAAATATCACTAAAAGTAAGGGATAAACATACCTCTTGGTAAAAAAATGACAATGTTTTTTTTTTAGGTACCTAAGAACTAGGGATTGAACCCTAAACTTATAGTTAAAAATATAGATTGTTCTATCATTAGATTATATGACCGAAAGAAAAAAAAAGGAAAATATTAGCGAAAATAAAAAGGGTAAATTATCATTTCATTTTTTGTTTGAATGGCCCACTTCCTTTACAAACAAAAGGTGTAACACTTCTAATTCCATATTGGGATGGAAATATAAGTGTAATTATATATAAGTGTCATAAATTAATCATTACTAATAATTTGAATTTAAAATTTTGAACATCTATAAACTTACTTTTCACTTACTTTAATCTAAAAAGTCATTAAGCTAATGACAAATTTTAGTATAAATCTGTTTCAATTAATATCAAAGTAGTTATCTTTTGCGGGCATCAAGCCTTCAAGTAAGGAGAGGGAAATTCAGAAAATGGAGATCCGCTAGCCTTTTTGTGGTCCTGTGATTATCTATTTTGCATTGTGTTTCATGAAGGGACAAACTAAATAGCAAATTTTTGCGATGATGGTGAGCTGTGTGGTTGCTGTTGGCTCTACACTAAGGAATGTTCTTAAACAATGACAAAAATTCATTTTCTGCAAATTCCATCCTGGCAGATGCATCACAATCATGTCTTCGCTATCATAAAAACAATTTTGAATTCGCCCCTCTCCCTTCAAAAATGAACTGGCATTGAGCATAAAAAAAAAATTAAAAAAAGGAACTAGCATTTGCTTTTCTTATATTATTATAATTAATTTACTCAAATCAGTATGGAATCATTTGTTTTCTCTGCACGATTTGCTTAATCATGTGAACAATAGTTTTCCCTTGTCATATAGAAATAATTATTGATTTATGTCTTCCTTTGTTAGGGCTAATAATTCCATTTCTAAGTAGGATGGATTTTTTTTTTTTTTTAAACAATCATTGTTAGTTAAGAATTCCTTCCATATGCAAACAAACTGTTTCAAAAATTCAAACAAATTAGTAAAGTTATCCACTTATAAGTTACGAAGACATTTAATCTTTTATAAAATTTTTAATTTTGATATAAAAACAATACATACAAAGTGACTCTAAAATATATCAAATAATCAACCAAAAAACACTCTTTGTTATTCGTAATTTGGCACCAACTACATATCCCCACTCTAGTATCATATTGACATGGGCGTGCTATTAATGCAATGAATTATATGATGGTGCTGGCTCACACAATTTTGTCTTTGCATCTCAAAAATATTGGCACTTAACACAACTTTTAGGTTAAAAGTTTCAACGAAGACGACCCATTTTAAATCATCAAAGTAAGAGCCTGAAAATTCCATTAATACTGACAATTCAAGTGAATCCAATGAAGAAAAACATAAAAAACATGGCCAATGTTTCTGTTATCCTTTAGACAAGTGTAATTATTATTGGATGCCTTCTGAATGGCTGCACCTGAGCCTAAGGGTTGACCATCACAAAGGCAGAAAAAAAAGGAGGTCTGAAATTCAAGGGGATACAGCCATGATGATGAATCCAAAAAATGATAATGCAAAAATATGTAGGACTAGTCATTTGGCCTTTCTTAATCGAAGTCCACGGAAATGATGGTTGCACAAGAAATTTGAGAATTCACGGCGTTTTTATTTCCTTTATGAATTATGTGACTGGGGCCTCTGGGCCGTTATGTACCACTACCATGGATAGTCACATCTCTCTCTTTCTCTCTCTCTTTTTAACTTTTCTTTTTGATTCTGCTTCCATGGCTCTTTTTTTATGGACTGGAAAACTTGTTTCAACTTTGAAAATTTAAAAATTGTTTAAATTTGTAAAAATAAATTTCGACTTTTAATTTTGAATCCAAAACTTGAAAAAAAAAAAAAAAACTTTTTTATGTTGGTGACACAGATTGGAGGTAAATTTTATTATTAAATTACTTATATTATTGATTAAAAAAAATTAAATGATCAAGACAATCACTTTATACCTTTATTAATTTTTTTGTAAAAGTGTTATGATACAATAATTATATATTTTTTTGTAAAAGTATATTTTTAGATTTAATATTAGATTTTAAATCTCTTGCTTTCAAAATGTAATTCGTTTAAAAAAATTATTGTATTTATTACTTCTTCTTTTTTTAACGGAAACAGCAAGCACGAGATGAAAAAATTTAACCTATGCTTGGAATAATTTTCCGGGGACTAATACTGGGTTGTGCGAATTGGAATTTTTATATAAATAGAATGACACTTATATATATATATATATTTTGAATATATTTACAAGGAATGGGTTTCAAACCCAGTCCAAAAGAAAAAAATGCACCAAAGTAGCTATTGTTATTAGGCCGCAAGGGCCAGCTGCAGAACGACACTTATATTGTAGAGATAAACTAGAAGAAAAAAATATCCGTTCCCTTCTTTAGTTTCAACCTCCATGCGTCTGGCCATTTTCACTTTTCCAATTTTCAACGGATGTCATTTTCGTTTGCTTTATTAGGTGGATGGTTTACCCTCCTTCGCCCATTTTGTGTCCACTGTTTTGGACATGTTATGTCATATACGTTAACATTTTTGGACTTGGGGATTATATGTGGTCTGCTTATTTTCTCTTTGATTTTTTTTTTTTTTTAACGGCTTTAGTTTGTTCAACCATTAGGTAGATTTTTCTAAACTAGTTTTGTTTAAGTAAAAGAATTTTCAATTGTCCTGTGCAAACCACGTGGCTTCAAGCTTATACCATTTAGAGAGCATTTTCCATGTCTTCGAGGAGACACCTAATTTGGTTTATGAGACGCAAGGAATGATTTTTTAAATAAAAAATAAAAAATAGAGATATTAATGAAAATAAAAAAATGAAATTACATTAAAATACCATAGCATAACACTTCATTTTAAAATTAAAGTATAATTTATACCACTAATTACAAATTTAAATTATACCCATAATAAATTTATATAATTTAGTGAAAGGGACATTTACAACTAAGAATTTTCATAACAATTATTATATGGACATAAGAAGATTACAAATGTAAAAAAAAAGTTATTATAAGTATCATAAATTACTAAATATTGAAACCTATTAAATTAACTTCTTAAGAGAGAGTTAGTAGTTGGACTAATAACAGTTTTCGCAGTCTTATCAATTATCTTAGTAGGGAAAAAGGTACCCCACCTTTCCAACCATAAACATTTAATCAAAAGAAATGTGTGTAAATTATTAGATATTCACATTTATTAAATTAACTTCCTAACAAAGAGTTAGTATTTGGACTAATAATAGTTTTCACCAATTGATAATCATATCATTTCCACAAAATAATTATCCTTATGGGAAAAAAGGTGCCCCACCTTTGCAATCATAAACACTTAATTAAAAATGTGTAAACTTAGAGTTTCTCAATTGATTAGAGTTTAAATATTGCCCCGTTATACCAAAAAAAAGAAAAAAAAAAAGAAAAAAAATCAGTTGTCGCCTATGGTATGCTTCAATAATGCATAAAAAATGTCAACGACTGTTACTGACTTTGTATTTAAAAGCCATCAAGTGGCAGGTGCAAAGGCAACCCAATGACGAGGGTTCTAAAAACAGGGGAGCCACAAGCACGTGCGGTGGGGAGTGGGCTCACCACGAATGAGAAAACAGTTGGGCGTTTGGCAATTGATGGTAGCGAGGAAGAGAAGAGGCTAATGGGGGAAAAGGGATCATCCCAATTTCCATGCCACAAAAGCCAAAACAAAAGAAGAACCCAATGGGATTTGCAAAGCTTCTTTCTCGTCTGGAATCTTCTAAAGTAAATTAAAACCACATTAGAGGAGGATCAAAAGAGGGAGGAAGTGGATTAAAGCTAGTGGGAAAAACATGATGATGAGAGGGAAGAGACACTACAAAAACATATTTTTTGATGTTC